ATTTTATTCTGGGGATGGGGAGGGTTAGAGCTAGGAGGACATACAGCTGCAAATTTCTTGCTGCACAACCTTTACACTACATCAAAGTCCTCATTTCCATCTCTGTGATTTACAGGTGATAAGATTCCACTCACTTCCTACTCATGACTTGCTAACGTAACACTAAAATGTTTCTTGTTACTTATAATTAACTTAGATTTGAAGGGATTTTGAGAGACTCAAGGTACAAGAAAAAATATCTGATAGCTCAACTAGCCACATTCGCCATGCAATCCTATGGAGGTCTACTCAGAAATAAACTCATTAGAGTTCAATGGGATTTATTCCCAGGTAATTGAACACAGGATTGCAGCCTCACTGCTTAATTCAATACGTCTACCCAGAAGTAAGACCCACTGAGTTCGAGCGGGATTATTCCAAGTGAGTATAGGATTTCAATCTAAGCCTTATATACTTATTTTTAAACGTTTGAAAAATGTAGATTTATTATTAATTTACCCTGATTTTTTTAAAATCAGTTTGGCTCACACAAATTGAAAAACCCTTTTAAAAGGCTTGTGTTTGAATTAGAGAGCCTAATCTATTATCTCTCTAATCCTAGAACACTAACTTTTCTTGGGCAGATTATGTAAGTCATTTGTACTAAGTTTTTTCTGCTCAGGCCTATTAAATTCATAATTTAAAATATACTAACAAATGGATATTTATTTAAAAAACCAAACGCTTTAACTGGGTTTCTTCCCAATTCACTAGTACAAATATGTCCACACAGCTTTCAAATAAATTCTGCATTATGACTGAATACTTCACAGAGACAGTTTTCAGAATTTCAGAACACAACATTATTTTTTATTGCCAAACTGATCTTCTGAATATTAAAGTCATATTTTCTATTTAAGCCAAAGCTAAAACATGCATACATTTGTCTAATTGTATCTGTCAGAACCCAAGGAATTTCATAAACTGATAAAGTAAAAGGACATTGCTCACCCTTCAAATGAGATTTTTCAGAAGTATTGGGTTAGCAAAATAAAATCCACAAAACAATCTGAAAACTCCTCAATATTAACTAGAAATGTAACTTTCCAAACAATACAAATGCCTCACATTGTAAAATAGCAAGGTTTCTCCAGATGCAACCAGGCTAAAGATTTTATACAAAGTCTCATGAAAGTTTTGTATATACTAATTTGAATGACTTCTTGCTCAGAAGTCTATTTCTTTTCATAAGCATTTGTTGTTGCTCTTCAGTCTGCTGCACTGTCATCATTGTGTGCATAAGTCAGTGCAGTCAGGGCAATTCTAGTCTTCAGTGCACATTCCCGAAGTATGCCAAGTCAACAAAGAAAAGCACTTTCTGTCAACATCTGGAGTATTTCAAGCCAAGAACCAATACCAGACCATAAAATAAGAGAGGGGAAACCTGATCCCCTGAAAAGTACTGCCATGTGAATGCAGGGGGATGCTTCGGCAACATCATGATTGTTATCAGTTGTAGAGCAAAGGAGAAGGTCTTGGGGTAATGAAGGTGATCACATGTTAGGTAGGAGGAGGTGCAAAAGTCATCTAGTACGCAAAAGCAGCCAGAAGCTGCTATTTTACTCAAATTTTACAGGCAGTCACCATTTGCTTCTCTAACATCAAACATATACATATCTAAAGTTTTACAAAACAAGGATTGTGCCACCACCCAAAACAGATTAGAGCCAATGGCTAATTTCACAAGTGACATATTTCCCAAACTGTGTAGTCACATAAGCCTACATTACCCATGTTTCAATATTATGTATTACCATATTTGTTCTTATTCACTGTGGTAAGGCTGCACTTGTGTCTCAGAAGTATGGCCTGGATGTGTTCTCTTATAAAAAGCAACTGATATATTGTAGTACATTTTAAGACTATGCTTGTATGCAGACATAGATTTCATCTAGAAATTTGAAATTAATAGCAGTATTTCTAAGGACCATACTTCACATTAAAAATGACCATTACCCATATTAATTGTATGCACAAGTGTAAAAGAAAAGGGCATTCCTACTGTCACTTGAGGTAGCAGCCTATGACAGGGGTTTTCATGCTGAGGCTCTTTGAGTAATAAAAGGAACAATCCAAGCTTTCCCAAGCACAGCCAATACAAAACACAGGCAGACAGTTCACTGGCAATGTGCAACCTTGGCCTGAAGGCAAACTGATCAACGGAAAGGGCAGGTGCAGGACCATATGGACCAAAAAAATGCTTTAAAGGTGTTTGTTCAGAGAGCTATTACGCCAAAAAGCTTATTAAAAAACCCCCACTCATGACCATTATCATATTCAGGGCACTAGGATGGTGTGAAAAGGCACCACATTCTGTCTTTAAAAGACATTCTGTAACAGCTTCTACCCTCTCTGGCACTCCCCTATCGAAGCTGGTCCCACAGTTCGAGGACCACTGCAAAGTGGCACTAGAATCTTTGCCACTAAGTGCACTGAAGATATAGTACACCAAAGATTTATGAAATCCACAGAAATTGTATGCCTCATGCCTATATATGGCTGCTAAAGTCTTCTCTAACTCTGAATGAGAGCAGCATGAAACTGTACTGGCTGGGGGCAGAGGAATGGGCCTTCCTATTGCAGCAACTAAATAGCTTGACCCCCCTCTGAATATATTACAGACTGGCAGTACCTAGACTACTTTCACAAGTGCTACTTAAATCAGTTATGCCATTTGCGGTGTCTGTAATTTTAATACAATGCCTACACTCCATAAAATATAGATTTTACTGAAAAATGGTCCTCTTCCACACAAACACACACATATACAAAATTGCATTTTAAAAACTTTGAATTGCTCTTAGTATGAGAAATATATTCTGTACTACCTTGCAACAAGAATGTTTTATGCCTTTCTGTATTCCCAAACCAATATATTTTAAAGCGCTGACACAGCAGTTACTGTAAAACTATTCCTATCAGTAACAGCAAAACATGTAGGTTCATCCCCTTTATCATTAGTACAAATCAAGGCTAATATATTTATCTCAAGTTCAACAGTATTTACGGAGAGAAGAAAATTAAAAAAACCCCTCAACTTCTGTTCACTTATACAGTCTGAAGTACAAAATTCCTCTGTGATCACTGGATAGTTTAAAGTGCTTGTAGCGTAAAGTGATTTTACCCCTCAAAAGGCTTAAGTAAAGCAAACATCTTCATATGTGTCTTGAAGTTTATGATTCCCAGTGGACCGCACTAGTGAAATAAGAAACCACATCTACAGTCATTATGCTCTGACAAGGTAATTTGCTAGCATAGCTCTGAAAGACACCAAGTTCATATATGAGCTGTTTAAAGAGAGATAACTGTTACGAGATTACTAGGATGATTTGGACACAGAGTTCGATCCAGAGGGACAAAAACAATTAAGAACAGAGCAACCCTGGGTATAGCCCATTCAGCAAGTTCACAACTTCATGAGTTAAAACTGAATGAAGTCTTACTAACATAACAAACTCATTTGTTGGGTGTTCTTTTATGTTTCTTTTCTCCAACACAATCAACTAAAAACTTTTAAAGCCTTAATACAGTCGTGTCAGTAACTTCCCCTCTTTCATACAGGTATCAGTCCCTTGCAATCGTTCTTATCATTTGCAGTAGGGACATTAGCCAACAGAAAGAAAAATGTCTTTCGCTGATCCTATTAAATAAACAGGGCAGCCCTTCATTAAGCCTAGATTTCCCTCATCCTCATACATTCTCCTCTCAACTTCTCCACATAAAATGATTTTTAAAATGAAACATAAGCATCATTTGCTTGCTGGAGCAGTTTAAGTGGAAAGAATACATACACGTTGTGGGTAGAGGAGACACAATCCACCTTAAACATTTTAAAAGATTAGTATTTTCACCAATATTTCCTTTTAATTGCCACCATCAACAGCAACAGTTTTTGAAATTGGTATTAGTAGGAGAAACAGATAAGGGAAGTTTAAGGTGCTCTCTAGAAAAAGACAACCTAAATGGTGACAAACTCTGCTGAAATTAGCCTTCCTGTTTAATTAAGGAGGGAAATAACAACCAATATGCGGCACTATCCCACATCTAACACATAGGGACTACAAAAACTAAGTGATAACCTAAAAAGCAGCTTAGCAGGTACTTTCAGAAGTGTTTAAATCTTTTAACATACAGTTCAAACACTCGCTTATAAAAGGCAATGACATCCCCTGGGGTGTGCTTTCATCAGATTACATGCATGCTCTTAATGTGCATATGTTGAACTACAGACACAAATCCCACCCCTACAACATGCCTTAGTACTCCACATAGAGACATTATACCTGGAAAAGAGAGAAGCAAGTCTTCCCCTTAACTTACTGCAAATTTCAGTGAAAATAATAATAGAGAGGTGATGTGCAGAAGGAGGTCTAGGGCAGACAGGGAGATGCTCACAAACCTTCCTAACTGACCAGTGACAGAAAGAAGCACACCAAGAGGCAGTATGACAACTTGCAATGCAGTAACACCTAATGCAATTATTCTGAGATAGGTTAAAATAAGCCTAAGAAGCAGAAAATTCACATCCAGAATATTTCTCCTGTGAACTTCAAAGCTCATGGGGAATTGTTTTATTCTATTCAAGCCATTCATAACAGATACACCATGTCATGATAGAGAACAAAAAACAGTATTTGAAAACGAACAACCAAACAATCTTGCCAATTTCCCATAAAGTCAGTCTATATGTATCCATACATATATGGCTGCTGCAACATTACAGCTTCTCCTGCATATCACTATCTCATTAAGAATGAGTTGATGCCACTGTACTTTATATTCTGCTCTCTTAACAAGCAGTACCCAGTGCAGCCAGGAAATGCAGCGTGCAATGACATCATGGTACATGTCTTCTTACCTAAATGCTGCCAATAGGACATGGGAGGAGATAGAGCGTGGTGGTACAATACGTTTATTGAAACATGCACTTTTAACTTTAGAGTGGATGCATCAACACCTACCTGCAGTTGGGAGGTGGATCTAAGGTGATGTCAGCCAACTCCTTCTGAATCCTATGGCAAAAAACCAAAAGACAAGGTAAGCAATTTAATAAAGTCCCTGTGTAAGAATGCAGTTTTACTTCCACATATAACAGCCACACAAACATATTGAGAGTTTGACTCAATTTGCTGCATGAGTCAATGAAGACATAGCCAGCTCAACACTTCTTAATCTCAGTGATCTGTATGGCAATCCTGTAGCTGAAACTACTGTTATGCCATCTTCACCAGCAGGGAACACAGCCTAAGAGACACTGTTTAGCCTGAAATCAGCAAGACTAAGACTTTGAGGCTACCACTATTGGTATCTTCTAGTGGGACATACCAGCTTCCCACAAAGGCTGCTAAACTAAAATACATTTTAATGTATCACCTAAATGAAACCAAAATAGCATGGGCAGGTTTCCCCCACTAACCAGCATGAAGGAAATTCCAGCATCAATTAAATCAGCAGCAACATTCCCATTGATTTTTAAGAGGTAAAAGGAAGCCGTGGTCAAAAGATGTACAGAGTATTTCTTTTTCCTCCTTAAGAGACAGCGTTATTAATAGACAATACCAGAATCCACCTACTCTGTGTAAATTTCTGATGAAAGGCTCCTCCTCTTTTCACCAGCTCTGTGTCACAGTAACATCAAGAGGAGTAATATGGAGAGCACTGGACTCATCACACAACCTGCTGAAAATACTGATTCTCATTTCAATCACACAACAGATATACAAGAAGGAATTTAAATGCAAGGTTAGTACAGTGTAATTCTTTTTGTCTTATTGAAACTAATGATTCTTCTTGTTCAAGCAACAGATAGGTTTTGCATGAAAGTTGTAAAGTAAGGTTAAGGTGTATTTAAGAAATGGAAAATATTTATTTCAATTGCAACCAACAATAAAAAGTAGCTTCCCCCCATGGAAGTGTAGTATTTTACATCTAATCAGATGACCTCCAACAGCTGCCAAACCTTAATTAATCTTTACTGCACTTCTGTAAAGATTGTCATCATCCACATCTACTGATAAGTGAAGAAATTAAGCATTTCGCTCAAGGCCATGCACTAATTCAGGTACAAGGTAGGAATTGAGTAGAGCTATTCTTGTTTTCAAATCACATCTTTTGAACCTTTCCGGATGTAAATTTGAGCAGAAGTTTGGAACTATAGTTAGGAAAAAGAGAGTCTTGAAAAGAAAAAAATAAAGCATCAAGGGAGTGAGTGATCATGCTGATGTAGAAAAAGCTGTGAATTTTGCAGAAAGAACAATGGTACAAAGCTATGAGTGAAGAAAAGTCATTAGGCACAGAACTCAGTGCAGACTTAAAGATTCTCACCTCTTGGCACTGGTGGAGAGGAGCTTGGAGTTTTTACTCATGCTGACTTTACTTTCCTTCTTCTTAGGTGTGTTTGTCTCTTTCTCGGTCTGTTGGTTGGAGGATGAAGATGAGGAAGAACTGGTGCTAGCCCTCGAATCGTCATCCGACATAGCTACCCCCACTACGGACCCCAAACCTGGAGAAGAGATGCCAAAAGGAGCAGGGAGGGAAGCAGGGAGTTAACATGCAGACAAGGAACCTAACTGCCATGGGGGTCAGGGTCTATCTCTTCAGAAGCATTTCTGTTTCCCTCCAAAAGCTTTGAAGAATAAAAAGAGAATGGATTCAAGGAAGAAAAAGAAGTAGCTTCTCCCTCTCCCTAGTTCAGTAACATTTAGTACCAGCTCCATCTCTGGAAATGTGGAGAGAGCAAAGGAAGGGATACACAGAGGCCACAAGAATTAATAAAAAGAAAATAGGATTAGGGAGCCTAAGTAATTTCCTAAAAAAAATCTCTTCGTCCAATCCCTTAAAAAAGAGACCAATCAACTCCTCTCTCCCAAATATCTAGTCCCAGAAGCATCTAAGACACATGGAGAAAAAGGACACAGAAAGGAGATCAGCGCTTAGACAGTAGGAAACGTTGCTGGAAAAGGAGCAGAACCGGTGCCAACAAGGTTATGGGGAAAGAAGAGATGCAGTACCTCGAAAGAAGGGGGCAGCACCAGGAAGGGCTGACCAGAAACGGGGGTCGTGGAGGAGGGGGAGGGATGCCTAAAGAGATTAGCGGGGAAATTAAAAACCACAGCAAGTGGGGGGAATAATACTTTTTAGAAGGCGCATAATCGGGGACTACTATTTTGGGGGTGGGAGAAAGGCTGCCGCGAAAAAGCAGGGAGTAGAGTGGCGGGGGGGGGGGGACTGTACTGGGGGAAATAACCAGTAGCTGTCGGCAACCATTGCTGGGTAGGGGTGGAGAGAATTTCCCAACTAAAATTAAAGGACGGATTGGGAGGAAGACTCCCTCCAATTTGAGAAAAGGGGCACCCTGCCCCCACTCCTCGCTTCCCCTTCCCATTCCCTACTTCGCAACCCTGTGACCCCCCTTTTAATACACCCCCACCCAATTCCTACCCCCACTAGCCCATCTCTTGTGTTCTCTCTCTCAGGCAGGACTGGGGGGGGGGAGAGTTAAACATCTAGACACCCTCTTGCCACTGCTGCCTTCCCCCAGCTCAGCCAGCGGGAGCGGCTGTGGGGCGCGGGTGGGATATCTGACAGCCCCAGACAGGATCGCCCCGATTCCTTTCTCCCTCCCCCACGTCTCCTTTGCCAACCCAGGTCGCTCTCCCATCTCTCGCCTTCCCTGGGCAGCCAACAAAGCCCCCCCCACCTCTCCTCCTGCCGCCCTTTCCCGTTTTCCCTCAGCGCCCTGCCGGGCCAAAGCCGTGCGGGGGGAGAGGGAGCTGCGCCTCGCCGTGGAGATGGGGTGCCCCTTTCCCATACCTCTCCCTTTGTGTCTGGCTGCTCCTCCTCGGTGCGGCTGGGCCTGGCCACTCGTGTCTCTCTCGCTGGGAGAGAAGCGGAAGTGCTGCAACAGCAACTATTAAACAGGCAATGGCTTCCCTGCCTGCTTGCCTGCCTGCTTGCCTGCCTCTGCCCCCCCCCACGCTCCAAGCAGGGGAGGGCAACCAGCCAGCCGGTGTCACACGCATAAAAGCTAATGTATATGCATGTGTGCATATACACGCACACACACGTATACATACATATGCATTCTCTTTCTCAGAGGGGAGGGGAACTCATCAAAAGGGAGCTTCCCTGAGGCATAACTCAAAATCCCCCCCCCCCCACCAGCTCCTCTCCCGCGCAAACTGCGCCCTTAGGATTTTTGGATGGCGAACGAGGGAGAAAATGCTCCTGAGCTATTTGTTTTTGTGCCTGAAGCAAGCTGTTTGCTTCACACCTTGGCAGTGCAATGTCCAAAGGAGTACATTAAAACAAAAAGGAATATTTTATAACAATCATAATCAATGAGAGGTATGTTTTTTTTCAGGAGTAGGGCTCCGGCAGGGGCGGGGGCGCTTCTCCGGAATGTGACACAATCTCATGGGTTGCTTTTCCCCCAGTTCCCCTCACACACCAGTTTCCCTCCTAGTGACGTTCCTTTCCTTTCTTCCTCACCAGCCCAAATCTTAAAAGCATCAAAGGGGGTGGGGGAGGAGAGAGAAAGGAACTGGCAACTGCCTCGGGGGGTTAAAGTGCCCCCCTACTTTCGCTAGCTTTCTCCAGCAGCGATTACAGCTCTCCCAGCTACAGCCTCGGCAGACCAGCTGCCAGGTGCCAAAGCAACAGGCCTCCCATGTGAGGAGGACCTGTTTCTCTTCGAGCAAGCGGATCTGACTTGTCCAAACTCTGCAGAAGCACAAATAAGCAGCTTCTCTCCTCCTGGAGCCCTAAAAGCACCGATTCGTCTTTTCTGCTCACTGCCTGTAAACTCCTACAAGTACTTTTGGTAAACTAATCCTTAGTTTCATGTCGATCTCTTTTTTGCTTACCCTAAAGCAGTCAGTAACCTTTTTTCCCGTTTTTCCACCTCTAACTCTGCAGAGCAATTCAGAAATTGAGGGTCACAATCCAGCAGGTGCAAACAGGATTTTTGAAAGACAGTTGTGAGCAAGTACAAGTTCTGGAGCTGTTGATGCAGAGGGACCATAGTGGAACTTCACTGAGGAAGGATGTTTTAAAAGCATTAATGTGTGTGACACCATAGCAAAATGTTTATCAATATCAAGATCATCTCTCCAGTTTTAGTGGTGCCATTAGCTCCTGGTTCTTCCATCCTATAGTACAGGATTCCATTGTTCCGTCCAGGTGACATCATTAGTTTACAGTAGAGAAGTCTATGATGTCACCAAACCCATTGTATGGTCTAACATGTAGACCCTTGAGCTCAGCAGCAGACTGAAGGAAAATCTGGTTTTATTATCAAATATATTCAATAGCCAATCACTTAGTCATAAAGTTTCTTCACTGATTATCTTTCCTTCTCTAAATTGCTACAACTGCTCCGCTACTGCATAGCAGCAAAGCAAAGCAACTTGTAATTGCAATTGGCAGAAAATCCCATAACTGGGATAAGCTGTCTTTCGGACTCTTAACTGTGCATTATTGCTTCTTGGGATAAGGCAAGCCCCCAAATAAGGTAACTGCATACCCTGCCAAGGAGCAGAAAAGCTGGGTTGCTCTGATAGTTCCCCTGCATGACCAGCTTCTACTTTCTGGAGGAAAGGTAGGCACAAGGGAGGCTGGGCTTTATCTTTGGGAAGCGAAGCAAACATTCTCTTTCCTTGGAGTAAATCCCACTGAACTTATTTGAACCTTCAGAGTAGACATGTACACAATTGCACTGTTAATGCGGTCGAGTATGAGATAGAAAACTACAAAAGCAAGTTAGCAGGCTGAGGAGTGAGAGAATACTTCTAGACAGACAGTTCCTAGCACTATCTCCCTTTTTGATTTTTATATATTTTCAAGGAAATAAATAAATAATAAATAAAAAACAGAAGTAGCTGTGGGAAAAATGAAGGAGAATTACAAGTGAAAGGCGACATTGCCTGGATCCATCATAACATTTTGTGAAAAAGTAAGGGCCAGTGGTGTTATAAAAGCCTTGTCTCAAAGCACCCATTCTACAATTATTCTGTCTTTTCCTCTCTAATGGGTATTTCTGTGGAAGGAAAACAGATGGAAGAAGCAGTGGAGAAATATGGCAGGGTTACAAGTAGAAGATGATATTACCTGGGCCCCTGTAAAATTCTGTTTATGAGGCAGGGAAATTATGTGATTAAAGCCTCCAGTGGATGCAGCTATAAGGGTTGAGTTCTACTGGTGGGAGGAAAGCAAGATGGAACTAAAGAGAGACAAGAACCAACACCAGCTTCATCAAGGAGGAGAAGAGGTCCCCTCCCAGGTCAGCTTAATCTATTCTTTGGCAGCTGGCTTGCTTCTACAGAGACATACCAGACCCAGGCAGAAAAGGGAGAGCTTTAATTGAGCCTGCCATTGTTACATTTGGTTAGTGATTATATTTATTCAGAAACGTAAGCATTCCCCCTTAAATGTTACTGCCTTTGTGGGGAGGGGCTCATAAACAAAATTAAATCAAATAAATAATAAAAGCCAGCAAGTTAAACAGCTGAACAATAAAATGGAGTAAAACCAGCAGTACCAATATTTAAAAGGTATGGTAAAACGAACTAGCAAAAGATCTTAAAAAAAAATAAATAAAAGATAAAAGTGCCAGACAGACCTTCCTGGAATGTTTGGAAGATGGGCTACCCATCACAATTTGGAAGCTTGTCACACCACCTAATTTCAGAGTGCGGCCGCCATTTATGCATTTCCAAAAAAAACAAATCATCAAAAAGATGATGCCAATTTGCATATTTCTAGATGTAAGTGTATATGTCTAGCTGCAAACAGAGAATCAGTAACTGAAATTTAAATAGTAGTACTACATATCTTCCCATAATAGCGATTATGCACTAGAACAGGGCACTGGAATTCCCTAGGGGCAATTTGTGGTGGCTCACACTTTTTAAAAATGTCAGCATGTCCATGGACCCAAAAAGGTTGCCTCTGCTTGGACTACATGACCTTTCTATCATTCTGCTTTCCTTGTTCTCCCTCCTTATGGTTCACGTATTTATTTGATTTGTACTGAAACTTTCTGAAGAAAATGGCACTCAATGCAGTTTACAATCAAAGGAACATTTTTAAAAGTTTAAAACAATAATAAAATGAATACATTAAAACACAATTAAATTATAGCAGTAAAAGAATAAAAACAGTACCTAATCAACAGTCTATCTTACATGATCTTTCAATAATAATGTATTTGTCTACCAAAGGAAGGACAACACAGTGAGAGCCAATGTAGCCTCCCAAGGCAGGAGTTCCACAGCCTAGGAACAACTACCAACAAAACCCACCCTTGCAGTGTCATCAAATGCATCAATGTACTGCAAAGAGAGTAGTACAGGAAGAAGTGTCTTTCCTGAAGACCTTAAAACCTGGCCAGGTTCATACAGAAGAATGCAGCTTCAGGAAGCCTGATCGTAAACAATTTAGGGCTGTGTAAGTCATAACCAGAAATTTCAGTAGATCCCAGAAACAGACTAGTAGCCAGTGAAAAACTGATGGAACAAGAAAGTAATGTGCTTTCTGTCACTGGCCCCTGCCAACTGGCTGGTTGAAACATTCTGGACCAGCTAAAGTTTCTGGAAGGTTTTCAAAGACAGCCCCATGTAGAGCATATTATAGTAATCTGAACAGGATATCATTAAGGCATGTGTGTGTGTGGCATAAGACATCTCCAGGAATGGGCACAGCCAGCACAGTAGTATCAACTGCACAAATGTACTCCTGACACTGTCAAAACCTGAGAATTCAGCTCCAAAGCCACATCCAATAGTACACCCAAATGGCAAGCCTGATTCTTAAGGTAGAAAGTAACCCTGTCCTGTTCCGCGCTCTTTAAACCAGATTTTGACTGGAAGCTTTTAAAATAGAGAGTTGTTTTTTGTCAGTTCCCCACAACAGAGGGCAGTTCTCTGCAAAGTAGGACTTCTAGCCACCCTATTTCCGGGTGTAGAACTTGGAGATGGCATGAAAGTTTGTGGGGACACCATCCAACTGAATTCAGCTTTTTTGTTTGTTTCAACTGAGAATTTTCTGTATAGGATGGGGTATAAAGATTTTAAATACGTAAATAAACTGTTTTGGCATTAGTATTGGCATTTAATATAAAATAAGCTGCATTAAAAATCTTGCTGCAATCCTGTTCATCTCTTAGCTAGGAAAAACCTTCTCTGAACAAAGCAGAACTTCCTTCCAAGTAAACCTATATGACTGCTCTCTTCAGTTCTGGATTCTAAATTAGCTCTTTCCACTAGGATGCTTGAGTAATTGCTGACAAACCTCAACTGAGCACAATACAGTAATCAAAAAGGGAATACAAATGATAAGAACTAATTGGAGATACATAATGAATACGATGGAAAACATAATAATATCATAAAAGTCCATTGTATATCTACGGGAATGAATTCATATGAAAACATAATAATATCATAAAAGTCCATTGTATATCTACGGGAATGAATTCATATGCTGGTCTGGTTGCAACATATTTCTAAATGTACAGCAGAACTAGAACACAATCTGTTTATAGCAACGTTAGTATTACTTCCATATCAAAAAAGGGGAAAGTGAATTGAATGAACTGGTAATCCATCATGCAGGTAGACTGAAGCATAGGAATGACTAACATCACAGGTACTTACTCCCCAGTGTGTGTACCCATGAAAAAGATTCACATTGCCTTTCATATATAACAGGAAACGCAGGATTTTGCTGCCTTGGAAGCAAGCCACAGTTAAAAAGGTGCCAACCAGCCTGGCCCTGTTGTTAGGCAGAATGAGACAGCTGCCTCAGGCAGGAAATGCTTGTGGCCAGGAGTAGCGGCAAAAGTGTTGGAGGGCAGAGGTGGTGTGTGTGATGCACCCCCTTAGCTAACATGTTGCCCTGAAGGATGATGGAAGATTGTGTTCTAACACCCGCTGAAATAAGA